TGGTGTGGAAGCACTTGAAAAATTAATTTCAGGCTCGAAACTGCTGTCCTGATACGTCCAGCACACCAACCCAGCATTAAGCCTTTATTGATTTCAAGCTGTCAATAACTGTGTCGTGTCTCATGTCAGCAGAGTGAAGAACCCTCGGGTCCTTCCAAGCCTAACCTGCTCTCAGGATGCCTGTGGAGCAAACGCCCAAAGACAGGGCCGGTGGAGAACTCAGTGCTGCCCCCGGTGGACATGCAGAACTACTGTAGCATCAGCCATGCCTCGTGTGGCCGCACCGAGATGGATGTAGAGGAGGAGCGGGGGGAACGGGATCCCGACGAGAACAGCCAGATCCAACGTCCTCCTGTCAGGATGAGCTGTGAGGTGAAAGATCTGTCCAACGGGCAGACGCACACATCACTGCGGCCGATGTCTCACATCAACAATCCCCGATTCAGGAGCATGCACGCAAGGGAGAAAAAAGCCACTCAGATGCTGGCCATTGTGCTCGGTGAGTGGAGGCTAAGATAAGCTGGGGAAATGAAAGTGTAAATGTCACAGTAACACACTCTATAACAGCTTTTAGAGAGGCGATATATGACCGAGTTATTTATTCTGCTTCGACTTCTTTCACATTTGTATGATTAACTCTTCTGCCACATATACCCACGACAGTACCAACACGTGTTTTCTCACTGTGTGTATTTCCTGCATATTTTTCTTATCCATACTACAATAAATCAAGCCGAAATGTCAGGCTTCGGGTTCACTGTGTCGGCCCAGACAGCGCACACACTGTAGCTCCTGACACAGCTTTCACATGCTCCAATTATCAGCCAGGTTGCTTATTTAGGCCTGGTCCAGTTAGCTCTGACACAGCATAGATCTCACTGACAAAATGTAATCAGAGGTGCCCGATTACATTACACTGGTGTCAGTGAAAGCCAGTGGCGCATGCACAGAAGACAATCCCAGCCTTGCTTTTTCATCCAAACTGACCACAACTTTACCGCAATGTCAAGACACCAATTATAGCACTTGAATTTAATGATTGCTCAAGCTACAATGCAGCATTTACAGTCTTGTTTATACACAATAAAATGTATCCTGATGACCGCTGATGGGTAAGACTTCAATATGACTCCCGCACAAACCACTCGTCTAATTGGCCCATTAAAAGTGTCCTCATAGGTCTGCTCACTAGCAACAGGGCAATAGTGGAAGATTTATCCATGTCTGTATTTATCTGCAGGTAGTAAACTATGTAGTTAGACACTGTGACATTTGAAGCTTACGTTAGAGCAGACAAAAGTAGAGCTTAATCCATTCTTTATTTTATTTTATTCTTTTTTTTTTTTTCAAAACTGTCAGAGAAACACTACTTTGTGTTCACACCAAACGTGAAGGGACACTTTAATGCAGCTTAACTGCCTAGAAAGTGCAAATGGACTGGGTTTTATATTCCACTTTTTCATTTAATGACAAATCAAAGCACTTTAGACTGCACGCCACATTTATGTGTCTCATATCTATTGCCAACATGCATATCTTTGGACTGTGGGAGGAAGCTGGAGTACCCGGAGGAAACAACCGAGGAACATGGAGATTATGCAAACTCCACATAGAAAGGCCCCGGGAGATGAGCGCGTTAAAGCAAGGACCTTGTTGCTGCGAGGTGGTGGTGCTAACCGCCACCGTGCCCACCCATCTGTGCAAAGAGGGAAATAAATTTAAATTGTTATCGTAAATCTGCGTCACAAAGCGTAACCTCGCTTTGTGTTTGTTGTGAACAAACCATTACTGTTCCTGCAGATGCAGGTTTCAACCCAGTGTAGTTATTATAGGGTTGTTAAGAAGGCTTTGGTAGATAACTGTTTGAGGGAGGTTTTAGCCAGCATGTGCTGTGACCATGATTAACACAAATTCTGTTTTCTTTCTCTCCTTTTCTCTTCCTTTTCATTTTAAATGTTATTACTATACCCACCACTCTGTCCGGCGTACACCTTCAATTCCGTTTTGTCCTTTCTCCATACCTCTCTGCTGTCTGCCCGCTCCAGGGGTGTTTCTCATCTGCTGGCTGCCTTTCTTTGTGACTCACATTCTGAACACCCACTGCAGGACATGCTACGTGCCTCCTGCACTTTACAGTGCTTTCACCTGGCTCGGGTATGTCAACAGCGCCCTCAACCCTGTTATCTACACCACCTTCAACATCGAGTTCAGACGGGCCTTCATCAAGATCCTCAGCTGCTGAGGAAGGAGCCACGTCAGGAAATTTAAATGGAAATGAGGCTGCGCACCCGCGCTACAAGTCCGGTGCGGAGCATTTAGTAAACGGTGGCCAGAGAGGTGCATGCTTTGTGTGCTGCATAAGTTACACAGCGGCACCAAGGTGAAGCACGGAAATGAACAAACACTGCAGAGTACAATAAATGCAAATACAGAAGGAAGTTTACTTTTCGGACTCCGACGAGGGCTAAAGCTTTCATTTCTCGACATGGCTGGGATTGTATTTGAACAGTATGACTCCTCAAATGACACTTAAACATGCATACAGTCTTATTTATAGCACAAGCTTTGGGCTTTCTTGTGGACGTGTCTTGTGCATTATGTGTACTGCTCATTGGCACACTTCCTCCATTCAGTACTTTCAGATTGATGGAAGTGTGAGAGGCTGAAAAACTGACTGTAGAGCTGCAGGCCGCTTCGTTCAGAAGCCTGCTGCTAACGTAATGTGTTGACTAATTGATGGTACTCGTGTGCTCCGCTCACGCTCTTTCAATTCGATGTAGCTGTGAAGGCTCAAAAGGATCCTTAAAGCTGAAAAATTGATCGCAAAGATGCAGGCCTCAGTTGTCCGGAGGCAACTGCCACCGCACTGTGTGGACTAACTCCTCTCAGCTCTCTGTCATCACGCCGGTCCCTGAAGATTGTCCTGATCTGGAGACATTGTGCTCAGTGTGGATTCATCCATTCATTAGAAATGTGTGATGTTTTAATGTGATGCAGAGTGGAGACATTCAGTGGTTTTTTTTTTGTTTGTTTGTTTGTTTTTTAAAGCGACTGTCTAGTTATCCGCAACCCTCCCTGTGACTTCATCAGAGCTGCCTGCTTGGCTGCTCTGATTAGCTGCGCAACCGAATATTTACTGCATTATGTTGTCAATAAAATTAAAAAAAAAAAAATAGATGAAACATTTTTCAGGCTCATGTATGCGTGCATACATCTAAATGTTACTTGTGATGAAAGATGCCATTAGAGTTTGGTGCATAAAAGAGTTCTGGGGAGGACCGTGGAGGAGCCAAGCTGAGTGACCATGATATTTTGAAGATTTAAGAAACAGAGAGAGGATGAGTCTGGGGAGCAAAACAGAGATAAGGAATGATGAAGAGGGGGGGGCTGAGTGGGAATGAGTGAAGCCAAAAATGAAAGAAATGAAGTGAGAGAACAAGGATCAAAGATGACTGTAGGAGGAGGAATAGAGGGGAGAAAAAGGAGATGGATGGAAAGCTGCAGGAAGGAGAAGGAGGTCGGTGTTTCTCAGCCCACATCTCAGGCTCTCTCTACTCCTCTGACAGGCATAAACACCTGCTCCCCTGACGCTTTGTGCCATCGAGTCGTTCCGCTGAAACCGGTTATGATGATGACGCACAAGGTGTGTAAACGGGCGCATGAGTGTGTGCGCATGTTTTTATTTATGGATGTACGCTGGGACATGAGCGGAACATACCGTTTGTAATCATCATAATGCAAACATCAATAGCTCGTGGCATTTATGGCAATCCTTCCTTCTGTTAAAAAAGTACATAATTTGGTGCTGAGACATTTGTTGAGCTGTTGTCAGGATTTAAAACAGGCTGTGATTCCTCTGTGATCAGATAAGGGATTTGCTCTTCTGTTCTTTAATTGAATTTGAATTTAATTAAAGGTTATGCTGTAAATGCTGCCCAGCTGCGTGCATGTACCTCCAGATTATTCCTTGTAATTCAGTGACAATTAACAAAAAAATAGACTCCTGCAAATAAACCTAAAGCCCCAAAGGCCTGACGCTACTCTAGAGGATTAATGTTCATTACATCTAACAATGTGAAACTCCTGGAGGGATGAAATATATTAAGCTAATGGGGTTTCATCTTTATCTGTAGTGATGCTAAAAATATTGAAGTTGTCCCTTAAAATGCAGCTAGAGGAAAGGTTACAGGGTCACAGAAAACAAGAGTCTACCACTTTGGGGTATTGTACGTGCTCATCCAATTTCATGGTAATCTGATTTTACGTTGAAAGATGTCTGTGTGAGCTGACTTCTTTTTTCCTGAGGTCAAAGTGAGCTCATGAAGAGCTCACTGAGTATCTACAATTATGTGGAGGATCCAGATGCTCTAATTAGAATATTTCCAAAACTGCCAAATTCTAAACATTAAAAGAAAATTTGTAATTTGTTACAAATGTTTTCAATAATTAGGAAAAAAATTGCTTTTTTAGTCCCAGGAAACAACTTGATATTAAATTATTTTAAAAATAGACCAGTAAAATATTTTTTATTTTATATACCATACAGAGAATAAAAGATGGAAATAACCAGGATGATGTCACCCATTGGTTTGTGAAGACGATTATGAAGCATGGTGATCATTCAGTTAGCATTAGCTAAGAAGTTAGCTAAAAAATACCACAAGCCAACCAACATGAGTAACGCAAACAGCAAACATAATCTAATAATATATTTATTATTTTGAAGAAATTAATAAAGAAAGCACTGAAAATGCTTACCAGATTAGTAGGGAAAGACCTAGATTATCGAATCATGTGGCCGCCTGCACATGCTGAACTAGTTTTTATAAAAACAAACCCAGCTTCTAAAGTGACACTCATAAAGATTTGGCTGATAGTAATATCAGCCAAATCTGATATTACCTGATATTATTGATATTACTATCAGCATAAACTATTGTTTTAACAGTCAGGCAGTTGCTGGCCTGCTCCCATCACTCTGTAATGTGATTTTATGTGAATGGCATCAGTGTGGAATAGTAGGACCCAGTGAGAGTAGTTGACTAAGCATTCGGAGGTCTCCTGTCTCCAAACCTCTCTCAGCATTATTTCAGACTGATCATCTGTCAGAAAGTGCAGAGTAAAGTCTGTAAATATGGATTCTAAGTGCTAGGATTACTGACAAACACGTTGCATTTCCTGTGAACTCCTGTGAATAAAACTTGATCTAAAGTGAAGCTCCAAAGATGGAAATGTTTGCCTTAGTAGTAACTTCATGCAGCCACATCTGTAATACTGCAAATGTTGCTGTGCTTTGGCTCAATTGCTCTGTATGGTTTTATTTATCAATAGTTAGTGATTTTTTTTGTTTATTTAAATGAAATAAAAGTGAGAGAGAGAAAGAGAGAGAGAGAGAGAGAGAGAGAGAGAGAAATGGCTACTTGAAGTGCTGACAGCGTTCAAAGTCCTCGCTGCTGCTTTCGTTCTGGTTCGTGTGAGATGCCTCGTGGAGCCTTTACTTAATTCATATACTTCACGGTGAGCACTGAACCAGCCTGGTGAAGCTCCACACCATCTAATGTAAAGACTTCTCTGTCAGCTTTCTTTGTAGTTTTCCTTTAAGATTAACCCCAAAAAACTGGCACTGCAGAGGGCAAAGAGAGGTGGAGGAAATGGAGCAAAGCCATAGTGGAATCAATCTCATCAAAGATGAGAGATTTCACGGTAGATTTGGGTAATATCTTAAACTGCATTTACATTTTTGGCAAGAAGGAAAGGAAAAAGCAGGCAGTGCTAATTGACAAAACAGAAAAGTAATATAGAGACAGTCTTGTGGAGCAAAAACACTTGCAAAAAGTTTTTTTTCTTTTTTGTAATTATGCAGTGTTTAAGATAAGGAACATGTCATGTCATGTTGTGTTGTCATGTCATGTCATGTTGTTAAGAATCTTAATCCAATTGACCTTAGAACTGAAGAAGCTTCTCGGATGAGAGGTGAAACGTCTTCAAGTAACTTAAAGAAGTCCAGACGCTTTTCTTTGCAAGCTC